CCCCATCCCATCCTGGTCTTCCACACGGTTGTCGGGCCATCTTCTGCTGCCTCCCTAGGTGCGTGAGCAGGGACCTGGATCAGAAGTGGAGCTGCCAGAACATGAACTGGTGCTCATGTGGGATACCGGCATCACAGGTGGCAGACTAACCCACTGCATCACAACACTGGCTCCTGCTTTACATCTTCTGGGGAACCTCCATATTCCACAATGGCTGCAGCAGAGTACATTCCTAGCAACATGCGCAGGGTTTCCAACCTCTCCTTCCTCCTTGCCAGCACGTGTCACTGTTTAATGTGAACTCTCTCTTATTTTTAAAACTTACATTCATCGTTATTTGAAAAAACAACTGAGGGAGAGAGAAAGATGGGGGGGCAAGGAGGGAGAGATCTTGCATTTGTTGGCTCTCTCCCCAAAGCGCTACAATAGCTCAGCTAAGCCAGGTCTAAGCCAGGACCCAGGAACTTGTTCTAGGTGTTCCATACAGGTGGCCAGCACTGACTTCCTGTTAGACACATTGACAGGAAGCTGGGTTGGAAGCTGAAGCCGGGTCGGGACTCTGCCCCTCATTTTTCACTTGTCGAATAAAATGAGGGCATTGCTGGGCACAGCCCACATGGAGGGAGGGAGCCAATTATCTCTGCGTTCTCAAAGGTTGACCATTTACGCAAACCATGTGGGATTCTTGTGCACTGAGGTTTGCTTGCACTCATTCACACTTCATTTCCCCAGCCTGAAACGGGGGGCATGGTACCACTTAACTGAAGCCACTTGGCTCGCCCACCGATGCTGAAAGCAAGTGGTTTGGGGCTGGAGTTGTGGTGCAGCGGTTTAGCTCACCCCTATGATTCCAGCATCCCACATGAGGGGAGGTTCACATCCCGAGTGTTCCACTTCCAATGCAACTCCTTGCTAATAATGTGCCTGGGGCAGGCAGTAGGTGAGGACTGGAGTGCTTGGGCCCCTCATCCACACGGGAGGCACAGGTGGAATTCTAGGCCCCGACTTTGGTCTGGCCTGGCTGTTACAGTTATTTGGGGACCAAAGCAGTGGGTGGAAGATCTTTCTTTTCTCTATCTGCCTTTCAAATAAATATAATACAATTTTAAGGAAAAAGACCCTCACAGTCACATTGCAGTGCCTGGGTTCGAGTCCCAGCCCTACTCCTGATCCCAGCTAACACATACTTTGCAAGGTGGTGGCTCAAGTCATTGGGTCCCTGACACCATATGGGAGACTCGGATTAAGTTCTTGGCTCCTGGCCTCAGCCTGGCCTGAACCGAACTATGTGTGGGCATCTGGGGAATGGAGCAGCAGATGGAACGTCTCCCTTTCTCCACTGTCATTTACCTTTCAAATAAAATATATTTAAACAATCCAAGGGCAGCTGTATTTGTCCCCACCCCTCTCACCTGGGGCGACAGATATGCTCACAATAAGAATGCTATCTGCAGTTTGTGTCCAGAGAAAACCAAAAGAAAAGACCAGGGCAGGAGCTGGATGTGAGGACGTTGCCGTGTCTGCTGGAGAAGACTCTGGACAGGCAGAAATGCTGGGTTCCATAGCCTGGTGCCTGGGGCCTTAAACGCTGGGTGTGTGCTCTTGTCACAGGGCACGCAGGCGCTGCCTGAAGTTCCACCAGGATGTACAGTGTCTTTAAGGTCATGAGCGAGGGCAGGAAGGCGACAGGATCACAGAGGCAGGAGCCTGGCTGGCTCCATGCTTGCTCAGAGTCACTGGGAGTCACAGCAGAGCCCCTGGCGCTGGGAGGCGGTCAGAAGGCAGCTACGCACCTTAGACTTCCACACCTTCTCTGGTCAGCTCCAACGGTCGTCCCCAGAAACTGAGCTCCAGCCCACATGCCAGCTGGGGGCCCACTTGTCAGGATGGACCACACTGTCCTGCGCCCTGGACTGCCCCTCTTTGCCTCCCCAGTGCTCAACTTTCTGGTCTGCCACTTGCCTCTACTTTTCAGCTCTCTTCCACCTGCTCCTCTATATTGGGGTCCCGGGTAGAGCTCTTGCCATCGGCCTGCTTGGCCTCTCCCCGGGACGCGAGTGATGGCGTTCTTGGGGTGTCCCCCAGGCACAGGGCTCTGGGCCTGTGTCTCAACACCGGTCCAGACTTGGAGTTGTCCACCTGGCACTGCAGGTGTTACCCACCCCTCTTGCTCCAGCTGATGAGACAGAGGCCCTCCTCCCTGCCCCGGCCCCTCCTCCTGTATCCCACGGGTTCCTAGCACCTTAGCCACCTGTCACCTAGAACTCACGCCTTTCTCCCAAGGCCTCAGGTGCTGACTTTGATTCAGCCACCCAAGACATTTGTTAGGGAATGTTTGGTGCAGTGGTTAACTTGCAGCTTGGGATCATGGGATCCCACACCTGCTGCATCCAGTTCAGAGTCCCAGCTGCACTCCTGAGCCCAGCTTCCTGCTAACACGCACCCTGTGAGGCAGTAGGGATGGCTCAAGCACTTGGGTTCCTATCACTGGACGGGAAGACCTGGGAGTCCCAGGCTCTTGCCTTCTGCCTGGGCTGCCCTGGCCGTTACAGGAACTGGGGAAGTGAGCCAGATCTCTCTCCCTTCCTTTGACCCTCTTTCAAGAGACTGGAAATAAACAAACTTTTTATAAATTATTAAAAATTATTATTAACAGAGGGCGACTTTTACTGCACGGGCGGTTCACGAAGACTGAGATGAATCCCTGGCCGACAGGAGGAGAGCAGTTTCCTTGCTGGAATCCTGGGATCTAACAGTTTCCACGCCCCTTGCTACTCGTGAGCCAGTGATTGGAAGTGGAGCAAATTTTTTTTCAAAGCACGGGCAGACGTCCAAGACTGAGTGTGATGTGGAGAGCAATCGCAGAGCAACACAGATGGAGCGATTGAATTTCTGCCAGTGCTCCAGGGGAAAAAAAACACACCTGGGGAATACTCTATAAACTGGCCTCTGCGTTTCGCTCTGGGTTGTTAGATTATGGGAAATGTTCTCACTTTCTCACAAATTTTTTAGAGTTTGAGATGTCCACACCATATGCGGGTTTTGGGGGGGGGAGGGATGGGAGAGAGAGGAAGGAGTTAGAAAAGCGATGAATTCAATCAACAGACAGGAAAGTCCAAACAGGAAGGAGATTCCGGGATTCCTGGCCACGTGTCCGCACGCACTGTGTGAGCACAGAAGGGCTCAAACTCCGGGAAGCCCAGATGCTTCTCCGCCCCAGGACTGAGGAAGCCGGGCTAAGAGCGCCATCTTCCAAACGGAGAACCTAAATCAAAGACTTGTAGGTGCTTGCAGGTGAGAAAACCAACCTGTACACACTTTTGAGGGAATTTAAAATGTTATAATAGAGGTAGGCAATGGGGCATAGCAAGTAAAGCTGCCGCCTGCTACACATACCCAACATGGGCACAAGTTCGAGTCCTGCCTACTCCACTTCCAAGCCAGCTCTCTGCTAACTGGCTTCCGACAAACAGCCCTGGTGATTGTGGCCATGTGGGGAGTGAACTAGCAATTAGATGAGCTCTCCCTTTCTCTTTGTAACTCCAGCAAACAAATACATCTCTTTAAATAAGTATTATAATAACTGAGTACACTTTCTTGGTAATATAGGTCTGTTACTAAGAAGACTGGAAAGTTTAGGTGACGAAGGGATAAAATTGTGCAGATGAGACTCAAAGTTTGTGGGGTCATTTTTAAAAAAAAAAAACATTTATCTATTTTTATTGCAAAAACAGATTTACAGAGAGGAGGAAAGACAAAGAGAAAGATTTTCTGTTCCTGGTTCACTCCCCAAGTGGCTGCAATGGCCAGAGCTGAGCTGGTCTGAAGCAGGAGCCAGGAGCTTCTTCTGGGGGTCTCCCACATGGGATGGAAGGTCCCAAAGCTCACCCTCTCCTGCTTTTCTAGGCCACAAGCAGGAATCTGGATGGGAAGTGGAGCAGCCAGGAATGAACTGGTGCCCATATGGGATCGTAGTGCTTGGAGGGGGAGGGTTAGCCAATTGAGCCAACATGCCAGGCCCAACGTTATTGTTCTCTAATACAAAATCAGTTGAGGGGAGGCTGTTGGGACAGCACGTTAAGTCACAACTTGGGATATAGTCACATCCACATCCCAGCGCCTGGGGAGGGGTCACCTCCTCACCCCCTTTCCAAAGCAGATTTCTGTTAATGTGTGCCTGCAGGCAGCAGATGACAGCTCAAGTGCTGGGGCTCCTGCCACCTCTGTGGGTGACCTAGCTCAGCTCCAGCCTCCTGACTTTGACCTGGCGCAGTCCTGGCTGTTGCAGGCACTTGCAGAGCAAACGAACCAGCATTTTGTGTTTGATTGTTTCTCTGCCTTTCAAATACATAACAATACATAACTAATTTCTAAAAATTAGTTGCAAACAAAACAAACAAAAGACCAAACCAGAAACTAGTGCTGGCATTATGGCAAGCAGGTTAAGCCTCTGCCTGTGACTTTGTCATTCTGGTTGTTGTATTTCTGATCCGCCTCTCTGCTAATGATCAGAGAGAAGCAGTGGAAGATGGCTCAGGTGTTCGGGCCTCTGTCTGCCACATGGAAGACCTGGATGGAGCTTGTGGCTCCTGATTTTGGCCAGGCTGTGGACATTATCACAAGGGTGACCTGGTGGAAGAAAGATCTCTTTTTTTCTTTGTAACTCTTTCAAACATTTTAAATAAATAAAACACAGGAATTATTCTGTATGCCTGGCCACCCCAGACAGCAGGTCAGGCTTGGCCAAGTGCACGGAGGCCTGTGCCTGGCAGGGCTTGGCTTCCTGTTCAGGAGTGAACCAGCAGTGCCTCTTCCTGTGGGTGATGGCCACCTTACCAGCAGGGGGCGCCGTGGCCCAGTGACCTTGTGCGGGTGCTGCCACGTGGTGGTGCCCCACCACCCCAGCTTGGCTGCCTTCCCACTCCCTGTGGCTCACCACACTCCAGCGTTCTGAGCCTGAGCTATAGTCTTCCCAACAGCAAAGCAGTTGGAGGAATTTCCCCAGAGCTGTGGCTGTCTTGAGATGGGCTCCCCTTCATCTCAGCGGCTGAGCAAGTACAGAACCGATCTCCCTTCTTAGTACAATGTTTATTTCTCTCCCAGGCCAGGCTGCACCTGCAGTCAGGAAGAGGTTCCCACTGGGATCCCTGGGAAACCCCTGGGGGGAACTGTAGTTTAGTCTACATGCAGTAAAAACACCCCCAAGTGTCAGGGCACAAACCAGAGGTTAGGAAGCAGCGGGGCTGAGGGCAGCAGTGTTCCGAGGTCTGAATGCAGGTGGAGTCCTGGCCGCTCCTGGCCCTGGCCCATTGCAGAGGCTGGGCCGAGAGCGGCACCCACCCTGCTCCCAGTGTTTGGTGACAAAGTGACTGCGGAATGCAAAGGGAGCCTTGGCTCCTGAGCTGGAGGCTTCAGGCTGTGCACCCAGGGAGGGCAGGAGGTTGAAGCACCAAAGACCCCAATCCTGGTACCTTGGCTAGCAGGATGGGGTGGAGTGGGGGTCGTCACTTCCTCCTGGCCCAGAAACTCCTTCCCACGAAGGGCTGGGAAACAAGCGGGGGAGGGGAGAAGATGGGCAGATCTCTGTCCTCACCTCAAGCCACAGTGTGCTGTTGCTCAAGACTGCTCAAAAGGCAAATCTGCTTCCAGAGGGACACTCAGCTGCTGCCCTAACATGGCATGGGGAGAAGAGGGAGGGGCCACTTGCTAAGGGCTGCCCTCCCCGTGTGCGGCTCTACGGCAGCAACACCAGAACACAGGTCAGTTAGGAGCAGGCTTAACCCTCGGTGCCCAGTTGGGTCCCCCAGGCCCAGGGCCCACACCCTGCAGCTGCCAGACCCCCTGTCTATGGCAGCTTGTACAGCACAGACCTCCATGACCCAGCCAAGTTCACCTGGCTCTGGAATGTGGCTGTGGACACTGTTGGGTTTCATCAGCAATGCCACTTCCTGTAAACGCCCTCCCTTGACTGCTGAGCAGTTGTGAGAAGTGGCTTGCAGTGCCCATCACCAATGGTGGTCAGTGCTAATGAGAAGCATGGCCCTGGATAAAGGGGCCCAGGAGCACAGGGAGCTCCCAGGATGTGGCATCTGACACCCCCTCGCTACTCCGCCCCACCTGTGAGTGTGGGATGCAGGGGTGAGGCCCAGTGTGGAGAGCAGGGGCAGGAGAGAGTTGGGGGTCCTCTGTTCCCCCAGGACACTGGTCAGGAATTTCCGCTGGGTTCCTGCAGCCCAGGGAGCCTGCCAGTGTCAGGGCGCTTGTGATTCCAGTTGAAGGAATGTAGCTTTTCTGTGCATTCGCCAAATACGCAAACGAGACGGAGGCAGGGACCCCCGCATTTCAGTCTGTCCGTTTGTCCGCTAGGCTGGAAAGTCACTCCCATAGTGTCGTAGATGCTCATCTGCGACCGACATGTAAGCAGCCCTCATGCTGGGCGAGTACTGTGGGAGACAGAGAGAGGGCAGTCAGAGCTGGGGCCTTGGGCTGTGGATGGACATAGCACAAGGTTACTCCATGAAGCCCACGGCCAACAGAATGGAATGGTGAAAGAGACATTTTGAAGCTCAGGCATGGCTTTCTTCTCCTATGCACTTTCCAGGAAGTTTTCAAAGACCCTTCATGCAGCCCACCCAGTGTAGCTGCAGGCTCTGCACCAGCGGGTCTGACCGCCACGGATCAGTACACACGTGTGCCTTGGCTTGGCTTCCTAAACAGCCACTGACACTGAGTTCATTTTCAAAAATGCATCCTAACAGGAAGTGATGCGTGACTATTGTACCATCTTATAAAGGAACAGGAGCATGTGGAGGTTTGGGCGTCCAAGGGGCTTCTGGGCTCCGTCCTCTGGGATGCCGAGGGACCCCTGTGCTAACAGAGATGCAGGAGCTCTTCAGAGTGACACCTGCAGCAGGCAAGCACCATGGTCCTCCTCAGAGGGTGAAGAGGGCACGCGGGGTGGGGGGGCTGGGGGGGACCATGGCTGGCCAGATGCCACATCTGCACGTCTCCAGCCCCACATCCATGTCTCTGGTCCCCCCAGTCTTGAACACAAGGCGCTCACAGACTAGCCCTCTTCTTCCCATCATATCCACCCCAGCACACACCACCAGCACCTGGCCTGTCCCTTCACTTCCCACACCTGTGCAGTCAGTAGCAGTTGGTGGGACACAGGCTAGGGAACACATGGGCCCAGATCCAAATCCCAGCTGTGCCTCTTACTCCCCCTGGCACCTTGGCTGAGCCTCTCCAACCTCTCCTAGCCTCACTTTCCCACCTATGAAGTGGACCTTAGAGCATCCAATCCCAACACGAAGAGACTCAAAATGATGGCAAGTAGGCAAGACCCCTCCCACAGTTCTCACCCTTAACAACCTGACAACAGGACCTGGTACAATGGCTCAATTGGCTAATCCTCCTCCTCTTGCAAGTGCTGGGATCCCATATGGAGGTCTGTCTGTATCCCACTGCTCCACTTGCCACTCAGCACCCTGCTTGTGGCCTGGGAAAGCAGCAGAGGATGGCCCCAAGTCTTGGGACTTTGCACCCATGTGTGGCACCCAGAGGATGATCCTGGCGCCTGGCTCTGGACTGGCTCAGCTCTGGCCACTGCGATCCTTTGGAGAGTAGATGGAAGATCTTTCTGTCTCCTTCTTTCTGTAAATCTGCCTTCTCAATAAAAATAAACAATAAAAAAAAATAACAACAAAAAGCTGACGACAGAACTACTGCTGAGGCACTGGGGCACTGAGACTCGGCTGCCCTGTATCATGGCATGTACCACCCAGCGGTTGTGTCTGAAGGACCTGAGATTTTGGCAGCCTGGATGTGCCTCTGGGGTCTCTATTTCTGCTAGTCTCTACTGCACCCAGGGAGCCAGAGGATCACGACACTGCCTCCCCTCCCCAGGAAGTCCCAGGGCTCCAGGCCATTCGTCCTGGAATGGATGCTGATACCTGTGGAAGGATGGGAGAAAGAGACCACGAGCTCTTCCACCTGGTGGTCTCAATGTGGGGTGGTCAAGTGGGCTGCGCCTGGCTGCCAGTGGACAGCAGCTGGGACACTGCTGGACAGAACCATGCGCGGAGCAGTTCCCCGAGACGCCTGGCAATCGCCCGGCCCAGCGGTAGACCAGAGCGGCTGTCTCGGAGCTGCATTCAGACACCCCAGAATGCTGGATGCTCCAGGAAGGCAAGAGAGCAAATCTTTCTTTAGCTCATTTTCTGGGCCAGAAATGGCGGCGTGGTCTCAGCATGTGTTTTTAGCCCCGGAGGTGGCTGATAAAACCCTCCAGGGAAAGCAAGAAGTTTCCCAAACTTGTTAACCTGCTAAAGCCTTGAGGCGCCTCTCCCAAGAGATCTTGTCTCTGAGTACCACAACAATTCCCATGATTGTTATTGGTAAATAAAAATTCTAAATGCCAATACTGGGTGTTAAAACCACTGCTGGTGACACTGACATCCCATATGGGAGTATTGGTTTGAGGCCTGGCCGCTGTGTTTCTGACCCAGCTCCTTGCTAATGGGCCTGGGAAAGCAGAGCAAGGCAGCCCAAGTGCTTGGACCCATGCCCTCCCCATGAGACCCGGAATGGACCTCAGGTTCCTGACTTCAGCCAGAGGAAACCAGAGGAAAACAGCAGCCCGCCTGTCTCCTGAAGCGGCACCATCACATCCCCTCTGCCTTAACCTCCTGACAAAAACAACCTGCAGGAGGCGGAAATCCACCAGTCAACTTCTCCACCTGCCCCGGCCTCCAGCAGCCCCACTGCTTCTTGTTCTTTGTTTTCTTTCACCCTTCTCTGTGGGTTAGACCAAGCCGGGAGCTCTGCTCACTGGGACATGGACTGTTTACCCAAGGAAGCCTACTGGGTTCCATGAAGACAGCTGGTCTTCACCTCTGGGGGAATTCCGTCCTTGTGGCAGCTTTCCCGGCCAGGGACACCATCCCAACCCCAGCCACAGCCCCAGGCTGCTCACTCACTCAGGGAACTTCCCCGAGCTGTCCAGGTGGGAGGTGGCCCCTGGGGCAGGCTGGGCGGGCAGTCAATACTGCCCAAATCCTCAGGGTGGGAGGAGAGTTCTGCCTGGCCCAGAGCAGTGTAAACCGGGTTAGTTCATGGTCTCTGCTAAGGGCAGGGGGAGGGGCCTGAGGCTTCTCAAACGGAAGCGGAGTTGCCAATTGCTGTTTCTCAGTTACTCCCCCGCTCCCCGCACACAGGGGACTTTGGAGTTAGAATCTGCTTTCCTAGCCTAGCCAGGCAGGCCAGGATGTGAGTGGTGGCCAAGGCTTCCGTCAGCCCGCTCCCACTCCCCAGGACCCCAGGAAGAGAGAACAAAACCAGGATGGGCCACGTGCTGGTGGTGAAGCTACTTCAAAGGCTGGCAGGTGCAGGGCTCTGGGAAGACACCCACGGGGGGCTGTGGGAGGGAGAGGGGGCGGACGCCGCAGACCCTCCACAGGGCAGAGGTCGGGGACACTGCTCAGCAGCCCGCAGCACACGGGGCATAACCCTGTATGTACACTGGGAACACCAGGGACCACACCACTCTTTGTCATGGAGGGCCATCCTTTGCGCCAGATGCTGGCAGCCATGTCCCTCTCCACCTAAAGCTGTGGTGATCAAAAATGTCCCTTGGGGTGTGGCTCTCATGCCATCTGCTAAAAATGGAAGTTATGTAAGTGGCCTGTGTTGTAGGGCAGCGGGGCAAGACTCTGCCTGTGACGTGGGCTTCCCACATCAGTCACCAGGTCGAGTCCTGGCTGTTCCACTTCTGATCCACATCCCTGTTAATGCGCCTCCCCTACCATCCACATAGCAGGCCTGGATAGAGTTGTGGCTCCTAACTGCAGCGAGGTCCAACCCTGACCATTAAATGACCATTTGGGGTCTGCATCTCAGATAAGCAAAATACACTTCCCGCACCCCACCCTCACATAGCCTTGCGTGCAGCCATCTCCCCATTGCTGCCCCCACTCCTCCCACCTCACAGGCGAACTAACTCTGAAATGAGCAAACCTCTTTCCGTTGCTCCTTCTAAGTCCCTCTTTGTCTATTAAATCTGTCCCTTCTGCCTCAGCCCACCAGAAACTTTCACATTTTATGTGGATAAGATGCCACCAGTCTCTTGGTCCTTTGATACCGTTCTCCCACAGAACCTTCTAGAGCCCTCAAACAACACGGACAGCTCCTCCCTCCTCAACTCCAGGCACATCCCCAGGCAGGTACCCAGCCTTGCTGCTCCCCAGGTCGGATGCCACCATCCTTCGAGGGTGTTGTGTCGACAGCTGCGGCCCTGGATGCTGCACTTCCTAGGTTCCCAGAGGTCCTAACACGCTCTGGGTGGCAGGTGCTTGGGTCTCAAGTGTTTCTGGTGGCCCCCTTCCAAACTCCCTGGCTGGATAGGTGCAAGGTGTCATCTGGCTGAGCGAAGGGCTGTGGGAGGTGGTGATTATGGCCATGGAAGAAGGCAGCACAGTAAGCTGCTCACTGCCCTGTGAGCGCCCACACAACCACAGCCCTGCAGTTCCCAGACTCCTGGCAGGTGGGTGCTACTACCACCCCATACTACAGATGGGGAAACTGAGGTACAGAAGCAAAACATTTGCTTAGGTTCACAGTAAGCCCGAGGCCTCGCCACTGGCACCTGTGTCCTTGAACCTACGTCTACTGGGGCCCTGTGCGCCTATGGAATACCAGGGAAGCCCTCGTTTCCTTCTGGGCAGTGGCCTGGCTCTTCCAGTGGGTCAAATGCGAGACTTTTACCCTTTGCCTCTGAAGAAAGGTAATGGGCCAACCAGGAGGAGCGGCCAACGGGGGCGCTGCCGAGCTCCCTGGCTCCAGGACGACAGACAACTGGGTGAACCGCCCGGCTAGACAAAGCAGTGGATTCTAGCCCAGCAGTCCCTAGGGGTTGCTCCACTGAGCCTGAAACCTTGGGGCTGGCAGGGGCTTCCTCCCCCCCCCACCCAGCGAGGGGTGCAGCCAGGGTTACCGTGGGTGGAGGGGAGCCTCTCCCGATGAGTGGTGCATTCTCGTAGCGTGGGGTCCCACCGAACAGCATCGCCTGATTCCTGCAAAGGGGAGGGTTTTGTCAGGAGGGCCTTGGGGGTGTGCTTGGGGAGCTGGGGGAGGGGAGGCTATGAGGAGGCATGGTGACTAGCTCAGGGACCCTAGAAACCATCCGCAGAGCCAGGTCCCCTTACATGTACTCAGAGACGGGGGCGTTGGAGATGGTTTGGGCCGGGGGCTGTAGGCTGCTCTGGCTGCCCAGGCCGCTGCTGTAACTGCAGAAGCTGTGCAGCTGCCCCCTGGATGGGGCGTGGGCCGCCATGCGCCGTGCCTGGGGGTTGAAGGGGTCGCCATCATCGATGTCGTCATAGTCTCTGTCCCTGGAACGACACACGGCAGTGAGCACAGAGTGGACGCCGGGATTGCAGAGTCCTGTTCTAGTCCCTTGTCTTCCCAGGCGGATGCGGCTCTTCTGGCTCAGGACTGCCTCTTCCAGGCAGCCCACCACGCTCTTTCCTACCCTGCTCCTTCTTAACTACTCCAGAGGCATCTTCCCTTTTCCGGGGGGGGGGGGAACCTCAGCATTCCCCCGACATTCCCCAGCCGCCCCCTCTGCATCGCCCTGTCCTGCTGAGAGACACAGAGGCTTGAAGGCTGCCATGGCTCCTGGCTTCTGTGCCAGCCCTGGGACCCCCCACAGTCTAGGGAGGGCTCCCCACTCCTGCCTGGGCAGCTCACCTGGCAGCAAAGCACTTCCAGGCCCGTGGCCCCGCACAGACGAAGGTGGAAAAGGCCAGGACGGCCAGGAGGGAAAAGAGGCCCAGGTAGAGCAGGCCCTCGATGCCGTCGTAGCAGACGCCGGTGAGCGCGTCCACGTAGTCCTGGGAGGGAACGGGAGGGGGCAGGGCCGAGCTCGTCTCCAGCAGCCTCTGCCCCCAGTCCCAGCACCTTGCACTGCTCTTAAGGGAGGGTCCCTGTGGTGAAGCCCGGTGTAGCTTTAGGGGTTCACAGCAGAGCTGTGTGCCAGGCCCTGGAGCACCGGCCTTGAGGCAGACCAACCAGGCTGCTGGGGCCGAGCTGGTTCGCCCCATGAGGACTATGGAGGTTCTGGCTGCCACGAACCCAGGTCAAGCTGAGTCCTTAAGAGGCAAACTGCTCTAAACCCACGGGGGATGTGGGCGATGCTGACACACTGGCCTCTGCTTGAGGTGTCTGTGCGTGTGCTCCCATAATCTCCCTGTGTTCCCTGAATTATTGGGTCTGATAGTTCAGCCTCCTGCAGAGATGACCATGGCAATGAGACTGAGATGTCCATTTGCCACCCAGGGAGATGCATGATTGACCAGAAGGCCAGTACAGACAATGGTGAGCTACCTCTCTCTTGCAAGGTAGGGCCCCCCCAGTGTCCTAGAGCTAACCTGAGCCAACCCTTCTAATCTTACCACACACCCCCCCACCAGAGCTTTCACAGGCCTCCCCTCACCCTGTGTCTCAAAGCTGGGGCCATCCTCCCCCTTCCCACTATTGAGCTAGTCTCTGCTAGCTTTGCTCTGGGAAGATGTGGCCTGTTGGAGTGCCCCACACCTGTTCTGGGTCTCTCCAACCCCGCCCCCCGGTACCTTGTGCAGTCCCCGGCAATCCAACATGGCTGTTAGCTGGTGCAGGCCAACCTCCGAAGAGTTCAGCAGGAGCTGTGTTCCAAGGAGATCTTTCTGCAGCCAGAAGAGGGGGAGAGACCCAGCTGAGTGTCCAGGAAGGCCCAGAGAGGAAACCACAAGGGCATTTGGTGCGAAGGGCACAAGAACCAAAGCAAGGGACCAGGCCACCAAGGGAGTGGATGCGGAGCCAGCCACACACGCTCCAACGCCTGCCTGAGCTCGCGGGGGTGGGGGGTGTGCTGCATCTGGGATCGGGGTTCATTCGGGACTGTGGGGGTGACGCCTTACCTCGGCCGTGGGGAACAGAGGCACAGCAAACTGCAGCAGCCCTGCCACCTGGATCTGCATGGTGGTCAGCGAGCGTTGATAGACAGTCAGAGCCTGGGCCGGGGGAGAGCACAGCCCCCCATGAGGGTCCGTGTGCTGGGAGCTCGGAAGCCCCTCCCCTGGTGGCTGCACCAGTGTGGGCAGGGATATAAGGCACGGCATACAAACCACAAGGACAGCTGCAGAAGGGCTGGACAGAGCCAGCCCTGGGATACCGCAGAACCCTGACCCAATGGGGAGGTGGCTCTCCAGCGCATCGACTTGGCTACCTGATCAACCCGCCCACTGCAGTAAGGATGATGCCTCCCACACGGGCCAAGCGTGCAGGTGACCGTGTGACGCACGCCCTCGGTCAGCAGTAGGCCTGGAGGGGCGTGGTGTGGTGGGCTGTACCTGCTGGAAGGGGCTGCGGGCGCTCTGGCTGCAGTACAGGTAGTAGCGGGCCACCTCTGCAAGGTAACAGTGTGCGTGTCAGGCGGCCCCCAGGGCCAGCATGGCCTTTCTCCTCCCAAGCCCCTCCCACCGCCCCAGGGAGGCCACTTCTAGGAATGAGTCCAGCTGGACCGTTGTCTGGGGGTGGTGAGTGCTGAAAGGGGTAAGCAGAGGCACCGGACAGCTGAGCTGCTGGGAGAGCAAGGTACCTGTGCTGATCTGGCCCTGTGTGATGTTCAGGATGAAGGCATCGGGGGCCACGCAGAAGTCACTGGCGCCCTGGGAGCGGGAGAGATGGGAGGGGGGCAGGATGGAGCCAAACACCAAGTCTGGGGGCAGCAGGTGCCTACCGCCCCAGCCATGTGGCCCCTGCAGGCCATTCCCAAGGCCTAGGAGGGTCGTTGGCGGGCGTTGTTGGGGGGGGGCAGTGAAGACTCCAGAGCCAGGCCCAGAGGGCAGCAGGGGGCTCCCTGTGAGGGCTGGTGAGGGGGCGGGGAGAGAGGAGGGGGACACATCTACTCATCACAGCTCTTTTTTCAACTTGCTGTCACCAAGCCCTACACGCGCGGCTGAACAATCTCCAAAGCCCCGGATTCTTTCTAAAGAATGTGCTGGGTCCATCGGTGCAGAGAGCGGGAGGGGGAGGGGCTCAGCGCAGAGGGTGTGATCCCAGGCTGTGCCAACGCTGAGCTGGGGGGGGGGGGCCTGTGAGAGGCGGTGGTAAGGATGTCAGCCTTTGAGCCAGCCTTCACCCCCGTCTGGCCTGGGGTGCAGTGGGCACTGGGGGAAGGGCACCTCCAGGCAAACCCGGGAAGCCCCCTCCTCTGGTGCAGGCTTCCCAGGAAAGGGCCTGTCAGTACTCTTTTCCTTCGAGATGTCAGTGCCTACCAGGTACCAGGCACAGCTGCAGGCTTAGCAGCTGCATCCCAGCACTCAGGGTCTAGAAATGAGTTTAGGGGTGGGAGGGAGGAGGGCTGGGGAACAGCAGGCCCCACCAGATCCAGAGCTTGCACACCCCCTTCCCTGCTTGTGTGCTCAGGCCCCTGGGAGAACAATTTCACACGCAAACCACTAACAGACGTAACAAATTGTCCCGGCACACTGGCTCCTTATTAGCTATCAGAGCTGCAGTGCCAGCAGGCCTGGGGCCACCCCCACCCCCAGCTGGGGTGACAGAGAACAGGCAGGCCCAAACTGGGGGAGGAGAATCTTGGGAAAAACAAGAACAGGGGGCCCATCTCAGGCTGGGCCACTTTCAGGAAGTCTGGGACCCGATGAGGGAGGGGCCAGGGGCCTGGGCTCCCCGGGCACGGTGCCTCCTCCTCCGTCCCTTCGCTCCCCCCCACTCTCCTCTTCCTGGCCAGCCCTGAGCCTGCAGTTCTGGTCCTCCATCTCTTGGGACAGGTGCGTCAGCATGGGATGGCCTGCAGGCTGCACACATGGCTTGGATGGGGGAGAAGCTGTCCGGTCCCTGCCCAGGTGGTGTGGGACCTGCAGGCTGTTCCTGAGGACAGAGGTGAGGCGGGCAGCGCTGCCAGGGACCCCTGCATGCCAACAGTCAGTGTGTGGGAGCTGGAGACGGCTCTGGGCACCTTGCAGGAATTTCCTACCGGCAGCTCTCCGAGGCAAGGACTGTGCCTCTCCACATTTCACACAGGAGGAAATGGAGGCACGGGAACCAGGGCATGTTCCAAGGTTCCACTGCTGTGGAAGGGTGAGGAGGGGAGGCAGATGCAGGTGGGCCTCCCTCCTTCCACCCCTGCGTCACACCTGCTCAGACCACACCCCATCTACTTCCTCTTTCCTTTTTCTAGTTTTTTAAGTTTATTTATTTTTATTGGAAAGTGAGATATACAGAAAGGAGGAGAGACAGAGAGGAACATCTTCCATCCGATGATTCACTCCCCAAGTGGCCGCAATGGCCGGAGCTGCACTGATCTGAAACCAGAAACCTGGAACCTCTTCTGGGTCTCCCACATGGGCGTAGGGTACCAAGGCTTTGGCCTGTATTTGACTGCTTTCCGAGGCCACAAGCAGGGAGCTGGATGGGAAGCGGGGCAGTTGGGACACGAACCTAGAAATAGGTGCCCATATGGGATTCCAGTGTGTTCAAGGAGAGGACTTTAGCCATTAGGCTACTGTGTTGGGGCCCCTTTTTAAAAAATTGTAATCAAAAACTTTCTGTTTATTTGTAAGCAGGCATTGTGTTAAAGTGGGTAAAGCCACCGCCTATAAGGCTAGCATTCTTTATGGGCATCGGTTTGTGTCCCGGCTGTTTCACTTCCAATCCAGCTCCCTGCTAATGTGCCTGGGAAAGTAGCCGGGGAAGGAACAAGTGCTTGGGCCCCTGCACCCAAGGGGGGAGATCTGGAAGAAGCTCCTGGCTGCTGGGTGTGGACTGTCCCAGCTCTAGCCGCCGCAATCATCTGGGGAGTCAGTCACAGATGGAAACCTCAACCTTTGCTCTTCTCTCTTTAACTCTGCAAGCAACAAAACAAAACAAAAACCCACCACATTTATCTACTTCAAAGAGACAGAGAGTGAGAGATAGAGAGCTTTAGACTAGGGTTCACGCCCCAGATGTTGGAACCAGGAATTCAGCCCAGGAACCAAACTGCCCACCTCCTGATGTGAGCACCCTCAGGTGGCTGGAGCTGGGAGTCAAATGGCTGGGCCAGGCTCTTGGCGGCTCACATAGGGCACAGCCGAGCAGGGCTGCCTGGGGGGCACAGGAGGCCACCCCCGGAGGCTCAGGGCTCAGCTCCTGGCTGCCCGTTCTCAAGCACATTCCAGGGACACTGCCACCGTCCCTCGTGGGGACAGGGCATGGGGTGGGATGTGCTGGGCAGGGGGAGGGGCACTCAGGGTGGCCTGCAGGCCACACACAAGCTGGGCATCATCACCCAGGGCTGCGGCCCCTCCTCCCATCGCATTAAAATGCAACAGGCCCCTGGCCCCCATCAAAGGCCCATTCAGCTGCATCTCACCCGCAGCGTCTCTCACACAAGGGCCTGACTAAAGGAATTGAGGAAATGGCATTGCTCCCAGCTCCCAGGCATTCCAGGGCACCCAGCTGGCGGATTAAATCGCCTCTGTTTCCTCAAACACTGCAGCGTGGTGAGAGGGCCAGGCCTGCATGGTCAGGGAGGGGACCTGGCCCACAAGGCGCCTCAGGGTGGTAAGCAGGAGGCGACGGGGCTTCCAGAAGGCACAAGCCTGGACCCCCTGGAGAGCCTCTGTGTGCCAGCCCTTGTCCCGAGAGGCAGCTGTGCACCTTGCTCTGGCCAGCTGGGCTCCCGCGCCACCAAGGACAGACGCTCTGGCCATGAGCCGGGGCCTCCTGGACTGGCCTTGCTACTGGCCGCTGCACAGAGGCCCCGGGGCAGGGACATCTCCTGTCTCAAGCTGCCAAGCCCAGCAGTCCCAGGCCAGAGCCCCTGGGTAGCCTTGAGTCTGGGCACAGGGCTCCTGGTACCAGCCCCTAGCCTCTCATCTCCCAGTGTGAGCCACAGCAGAAGAGAGAAACATAGGCTAGATGGCGGCCTGTGTGCCTCAATCTGTGGCTTGCAACCCCAATTCATCCTGCTGTCCTTGCTCACATGCGCATACACAGACACACACACACACACGCACATGCATGATCCAGTCATCCGCCAAGTCTGTCTTCTTTCACCTACAACTCAGGCAACAAACAGCAAACACCACATGTCCCCCAACCCCCCCTGGCACCAAGTGTCACTCAGCAAAGCATGCCCACTGAACAGACAGACGCGCGTGGCTGAAGTCCAGCATCAGGTCTACCGAGGGCCGAGTATACCCATGTAGGAAGCCCTCAGCTGGTCAAGAAGTATTATTTGAGAGGCAGAGATTGGAAGAGCAGGACAGCAGTCACCCCCTCCCGTCGTGTGTATGTGTGTGTGAAGGGCTCAGCTACTTGAGCCAATGCCTGCTGCTGCCTAGGGGCCTGGGGGCAGGAGCTGGGACTCAAACCCAAGCACTTCACTATGGGATGAGGGCGTCCCAACTGCTTGGTCAGACAGCTGCCTTCTTGGTTAATTAGCATACCGAGGCAGAGAAGCACAGCACGTGTGTCGGAGGGCAGCGAGTAAAGCAAGACCACGTGCCCAGGGCCCGCGACACCGGCCCAGAGCTGTGCTGCTAAGGCCAGAGTTCCTCCAGCCTGGGTGGCAGATGCCACCCCCTGCCCGGTCTTCCTCAGCTCTTCACAGCCAGGGAAAAGCCACCTGTTCCCGCAGCTGTCCCTCGTACAAGCCCCTTCCTTTTTCTGGGCAGTTTCCTTGTAAAGCCAGGAGGAGCCTGGCCCACAGGACCCAAGTCACTTTGGTTCTGAGATCATGGGCTTCTGGGACTATGGACAGGACACCTCCCCAGAGAGACTGCCCCAGTGCGACCACCTCCTGCCTCCCATTCCCGACTCACCACTCCTGCGGCCATGTCTGTGGCCAGAGATGCCCAGCTGAGGAGCAGCACCAGCACCGTGCAGCCCAGCATCCTAGGAGAGAGGCAGCCAACGTGGGACCCAAGCAAAGTGTACAGCAAGGCGGGGGTGGGAGGGGCTCTGTAACGGCTGCCATCCCACCATTTCCAGCGCCTTTCCTCCTAGCCCCTCTCTGACCCTGCCACAGCCCCTAACTGTCACTACAAAGGCCCCTGGGTTACAGCCACAGCACTACGGGAGTGGGTAGAGGTGGGTGAAGGTGCTGTGCTTGGCATCTTGGGCTGATCCGCACAAGTAGACCCAGCAGGGAGGGCACAGGTGGAGGAAAGCCTGGGCCTGCTGGCATCCAGATGGCCGGTTGGCGGCTGCCAAGGAGGGACCAGCCTGCCTGCTCCACTCGGCAACCTGACCAGGCCCGTGCCACTTGCGGACGGTGATGGCACCTTGCCCTGCTCTCTCTCTCAGGCCCACAGGCAGCGCTACTCACGAAGCCAGGAGACACTTGGAGTGCCTGGCCAGTGCCAGGCAGGTGACGAGGCAGATGACCAGGTCCAGGGCGAAGAGCAGGAGGTAGGAGAGCCACCTGGGTGGAGGGGGTGGGGAGGTCAGTGGGACCACGGGAGAATCCTCCTGACCCGCAGCCCCGCCTGGTGTGGGGAATGGAGCAACCTACACAGCAGTGCCCCTCTCCCACTGGCTCCAGCATTACAAGTGGCCTTGAGCCAGCAAGAGCCCAGTGGACATGGACAGACCGCCACTTCAGGGGCTGCGGGGCCGCCCCCTCCCCAGGTTGCCTTAACTCAGAGTCTGAACCAGACTTCCTGCCCAGGGGTGGCCACTGAGCATGTGCAACACAGCTTATGCAGCCCAGCAGGGGGACCTGGCACTTAAATAAACTTGAAGAGTCACGCAGGTGCTGCGAGCACAGCGGCCAGCATGGCCAGACAGCAACAGACAGGCATGACTGGAAGCCTCTAGGAGGCCAAGCTCTGACGAGTGCCCAGTCCGGCCTTCCTGGGGCCCCAATCCTGCCCTCAAATCACAGGCAAGTTTAGGGCTCTCACAGCCAGCACCGGTGTCAGGTTCTGCATGTGACGCCAAGGAGGCCTGCATGGAACTCACTCCAGACCATCATGGAGCCCAGAGTAGGCAAGGCAGCCACAGCCAGCTCCTCCCAGCTCCGGCCTGGGCTGATGGGGAGAGTTGGCCCTTGGACACCTTGGTCCCCAGAACCTTAGCACTCCTATCAGTGGGGGACATTGCAGCCCCTTAATTCACAGGGTGGGGGCGAGGAGCAGGTGCTTGCAGCATGCACACACAGGGTGACGTGAGGCAGCCACTGGGGCCACAAGCCCCTGCCCTCCTGCCTCTCTGGGGTCTGGGCTGAAGAGCCGAAGGGCCCCCAAGGAGACCCAGAACAGATCACTAATTTCGCAAACGGAAGCCTAGGGCAGTCTTTGCCCAGCAGCCACGTCCGTGTGTGCTGTGTTAGGGACCAAGCACCATCCCCAGCTGGGAGAGGCCTCTGGCTTTCAGGGCATCAGTGACCACCAGGGACAGATGGGGCTTTGGGACACAGGATGAGAAACCCGAAAACCAGAGTAAGTCATGCAGGACCGTGGCTCTGAGCTCCATCACTGGCTTGAAGATGAGCCAAGAGTGGGGGTCAGGAACCCCAAGAGCTGACTCTCATTCTCCACGACTTGCCAACCTCAGCCCTATGCCAGGTACTCTGGGGGAGGGCGCGATGCCATGTCAGTGCCGCAGGGCTGCCTGGCAAGACGCACCCTGGAGGTCACACCGCTGCCTCCTTGCCTGGCTGTCTCCTGAGGGACCTTCCTTGGGGCGGGGGTCTCTGAGATGCAGTGCAGGAGAGGACAGAGCCCCCTGGCTAGGTGATGCAGTCTAAGGCTGCATGCCTCTGAGGGTGCAAGATGGGGGAGTCCTCACCTATAGTATTCTATGTAGCTGGTCTGCTCCGACAGCTCGGTCAGCTGGGTAGTGACCTCCTCCCACACGGGCAGGCCGGAGAGTTGGGCAACAATGTTGTCCGCCATCTGCTGCATGAATTTGAGGGTCTGCAGGTAGTCGCCTCGGCTGGCGAGGATCTCGCTGAGCCGGGCCAGGTGCCGCTCCAGGTCCACCTTCATCTTCTGGGTGGTTTCAGAAACCTGGGGTGGGAGGGGTATGAAACAGGACTTGGGGGGAGGTATGAGTCTGACTCATGCATGGCAGAGAGCCAGGGAGGCGGTGGGTCTCAAGCATTTCGGGTGAGGAGGAACCCCGGATGGGGACGCACACAGAACAACCCATTTCTCCTGCTTGAAGTCTCTGAACCTGAAACACTGGGGCAGGGGACTTCTCTTTTTCAGAGAAATAAACGGTTGAGCTCAGGGGCTTGCACATTGCTTCCTGACCTGTCTGTCCCACGGCAACGAGATTTCTCAATGTTGCCCAAGAGGGAAACTGCCTGCTGCTGCATCCGGACCCTGGGAAGGTAGAAAAATGGACGTTTGACAGAAACTGCAGACAGCCCTGACCTTGGCTCTGAAGAGCCTGGCCAGCCTGCAGGAGGCATGCTGGTGCCATGTCTGTGTGCTTCTGTCCACTCCCATGGCCTGGAGGGAAGGCAGTGTGTGTTGGAATGAAGGTAGCCATGAAGGACGTCCTTCCAAGCACATCTGCCTGAGAACATCTGGACAGAGCCAGGCAGCTTGCAGGGCCCAAGGGTGCAGCCTGGCAACCCTCAAGTCTGCCTAGAGCTCATGTGTTGCCACCCAGGGCTGAAGGGCCGTGCCACTCTGAGATTGTCACCCAGGGACCCGGGCAGTCCAGCTGGCTGCAGGGGGACAGTGTGTGCTGATCTTGATCCAGAGTCGGCAGCTCTGGCTCCTGCAGCTGGGAGGACGGGAGGGAAGCAAAAGGGGCAGAAGCTTCCTACCCAGGGCTGAGCCCCAGCCCGAGGCCGATTAGATAACACCATGGCAGCTCTGGCTGTGCGGGTTTGCACATCTGCAGCCCAGCCATGGGAGGAGAGAATGGCTTTCTTTGTGTCCTTTTGTTATCTCCATGCCAGTAGCTCGCTCCATTTGCTGCCCAGTGCCTGGCTTCTGGGAGCCATGGGACTCAGGGAACCAGCCAGCAGCAGCTACGCCTTAGGGGCTCAGCAACCTGCGGGCAGAGGAGAGGAACCCCAAGCCACTTGCTGCAAGTGCATTTGGGGGTTCAGAAACTTCCCATCGGGTTGAATAAGGGAACTGGTCTTGCCGCCCGAGATCATGCTTTTGTCCTTCCCACCCATAAACAGCAAAGATCAGAAGCAAGGACTGTTAAAAGCTTAAAATCCACTGCCAATTCCCCCCTCTACAACTGCACAACTTTGAACTTCCCCGTTTCTTAAACTCCTCCTTGGGAGAGCAGAAAAATAAAAAAAAAGACACCAAGACAATTAACATCTGTCTTCCGGCCTGATGTTGTCTTCCCACGGGAAACAAAAGAGAAAAAAATCACAATGCTGGCCTCTGTACAGCTCCCCACTTCCTCACTTCTCCTCTCTCACGGGAAGGAAGATCTCGGCGAGGTGGACAGCGGGACAGTTCCGCTGCTCAGGCTAGGTTCCTGGAAACTCGTCCCCCAGGATGGCATTCCAGCTGCTGGCATCCCCCAGTAACTGGTCAGAGCTGCGGATTCCCACTCCTGCCCACTCCTGCAGACCCAGGCTCCTGGCCAGGGAGGGGTCCTACACATCCTGTCTTTGCCCAACAGCCCCTTCAGGGGACTGATGCAAGCTCAGGTGTGAAAACCTCAGGAGGGAGGCGGGGCCTGCCCTTAATGAGTTTATTGGAGAGCAGCTGGAGGGCCTGGCAGGTGAGGCAGGAGAGGAAGGCCCCCAGGGCAGGCCCAGCAGCTGGTGGGTGGCCGAGAACAGGGATCAGAAGGCCTGGCTGGTGCCCAGAAGGCCTGGCTGGTGCCGCTGCGGCTCCTGCCCAAACAGGACTAGCCCACAGCTGGGGTGCAGGCAATGCCCCACGCCCCCACCTGGTGCCCTCAGCCTGCCATGGGTTCCAAGAGAGCCATGCTGGCCACCAGAATGCCAGGAACAGACACAAGGTGCAGAGTCAGCAGGTACTAGAAGCGGCCTGATGCCATGGGGGTCTGGTTGGAGTCCTTCCTGCGTGCCCCCAACTGGGTGGGGGGCGTCACTAGGTGACAGAAAGAACGCCATGGCCTCTACCTACTGAATACCTCTAAACAACCCCTTTCTGATTCCTCCAATAAACCCAGACCCTGCTTGGGTCCCCAAGGTGTGGCAGGGCAGTCCCCCAAGGATCTCTGACCATCTCCAACTCCACCAAGGCCCAGCCCAGGTAACCTGGTCCTCCCTTCCTCCCACCCACCCGGCTCTGCCCCCCACAGCCCCTGCCCGCAGCCTCCTCCTCCCTTTTGGTAATTACAGTAATTGTGATGATTATAATGGGGCCCATTCTATGAGTCACCCCAGTTGGAGCCCACTTAGCAGTTTATCCGCACTTTGACCTACATGAAGTCATCCAATGTCATTTATCTGGTATTTGAACTTCACCCCTCCAATACAGGGGGCCCCTCCAAGGGCTGCTGTTTGCACTGGGACCCAAACCAGCCTCCTTGGCCCCAGCCAGGGCCCAGTGCAGGCTGACCACCCCCCTGCATCCCTGGGAAAGCACCTGTGCTGGCCCCAGGGCAGGGGCAGGATGCAGCAGCTCCCTAGTGGTGGGTAGGCCCGGAGCCCTGGGGGCGCCTGCCCCCCACTTGACAGTGGTGATGAAGCCCGAGGCTGACATCTCCAACATGGGGGTCCTAGTGGGTGGGAGTCACTGGGAATGGTCCCAAGCCAGCTCCAAGTCCATCCTGGCACTTGTTCCCAGCCCAGCTTCCACCCCCAGAGAGAAGGACTCAAATTTTCCCATCAAGTTTTTTGTCACGATGGTCTGGGGCTTTCCTGGGGAAGAAGTTACCCCTGGAGCTGTGTTCCTTTTCCAGTGACTCTTGGTACCCCATAAGCAGCACAGCTGTCTCTTTAAGGGCGGCCCGGCCAGGGGCCGCAGCGGGATTAGAGCCTACAGAAGCTTAAGGGAGTGGGAGGGGGCACCGGAGGTGGTGTCCTCCTTGCGGGCTGCCAGGGCCGTGTCGGGACGGGTCAGCTGGAGACAGATGGGGCTGGATTTTGCAAGGGAAGCTGCTGGACAGGCTGTTGTCACCCCCTCTGCTGGGGACCTGGTCCAGAGAGGGACTGGCCTGGGGTGGGTGCCCAAAGAACTGGTCTCCACGGCCTGGCTACCAGCATTACTAGGGCTGCCTGGAAAGGCAGCAGCAAAGGCCCTGGTGCCATCACAAAGGTGACGGGCATGTGGGCAAAATGAGAAATCCCTCAACCTGCCGCTCAGGCCAGAGGCCCAGGTGGGCTGCCATTTCCTGCTCTCAGTGCAATGCCTCCGGCCTTGACTGTGAGCCCCAGCTAAGGTCACGGGCCCCATCCCAGAGCCTACACACCCAGGACTTGTCGGGGGGAACCCCACCACCCCCACGGGGCTCTCCTGGAGTCCACTTAGAGTCGTTACACAGAACACCATGGGCTGACAAGGGGAAGCCAGGGTGCTGCAGGCCTGTGGGGGCTGAACTGGCGGAGGACCTACTGGGATCCCTGCTGTAGCCGATCTGAGCTCGCAGGGTCTCCCCATGCCCAGCCAGCAACCCAAGAACCTTACCAGGGTGTCGATCCCAGAGAAAGTGTGGTTTGCATTGTCCAGGGAGTAGGTGAGCTGGTAGACCCCGTCGTTGGTCTGACTGTTCCCGTAGAATCCGATGCCTAAGGCGGCACTACAACCGAAATGCCAAAGGTTAGTAGACAGCATCTGTGCTTATTCTATGTATGTGTCATTTCAAAGGTGGAGTGACAGAGAGACCTTCCATTGGCTGGTTCACTCCCCAAACACCTGCAAGCAGCCAGGGCTGAGCAGGGCGCAAGGCCAGGAGGCGGGGCTAGCCTGGGTCTCCCACGTGGGAGGCAGGAACTCAAGTCCTTGTACCACCACCTGCTGCCTGCCATGGTATGCATCAACAGAAGCTGGATGAGAAGAAAGACATGGACTAGGTACTTTTTTGGGGGATGCAAGTGGCCCAGGCAGCGTAACCACTGTGCCCAGTATGCACCTCCTGTTTGTCTTACAAATCAACTTGAGTTTTGAGAACTGAACAGAGTTGTTAGAAAGCCCACCAGAGTGGACCACATACCCCAAGTCCACAGCTGGCTTTAGGGTTCACTCTTGGCACTGCACAGCCTGTGGGACTGGACACAGGCCTAAGGACTCAGATCCACCGCCACAGCACCAGCACAAGCAGTTCCACAACTGTGAAGATCTCCTGTGCTGGAGCACGGTGGCTGAAGCCACTGCAACACCTGGGCATTCCACCTCAGAGTGTCGGTTCAAGTCCCAGCCCCTCGGTTTCCACCCAGCATTCATGCAGAGGATGATGGGAAGGCAGACGATGATGGCCCAAGTTCTTGGGCCCTACCACCGATACGGAACAGCGGGACAGAACGCCTGGCTCCTGACTTGAGCATGGTCCAGATCCGGGTGTTAGAGACACTCTTTCCCTCTCTGCGCTTCTGCCTTTCAAAGAAATGAATAAGTGTTTGGTGCCTTTCCAGCCCGGTTTCTCCCGCAAACGAGACACAGAAGGTTCTGCCGTGTCTGTTCACGGCCGGGCAGCTCACTTCCTTGTGGCTGTGAATAATACCCCATTGTCCGGGTACAACGCAGTGCCGTTTCCCAGCTCCCCTGCTGTTGGGCATCTTAGCTGCCCATCTCTGAGGCTGGGCTGTTAGGACTAAGGGCTCCGGAAACGTGTATGGAGGGAAGGGCTTTGACGGTCACAGAGGAACTCTGTCCAGGATGGGGGTTGGCAATGATGTCTAGGATGAAGGGTGAAAGACCACATGGGGTCACAGAGCAGAGGGACCCCACGGTCATTTCCTTTGGGTAAAGACTTGTCTTTTGGTCTGATGGCTTGGAAGTGGGGGGTGGGCATGGGTAGGGGAGATCGAGCCAGTCTGAGTGATCCTGAGCCAGCCCCCAGAGAACTAGAGAGAGACCACCGCTCCGGGGCAGTTCCTGCCACCTCTAGAACTGGGGACTCCCTGGCCATCCTTTCCTCCATGTCCCTGACACACACCCCAGAGCCTGTGCCAGCACCAAGTCCCTTCTCCGCCTGGGCTTCCTGCCTCTTGCCACAATGTGCCCTCCGCGTCTAGGCAGTCCACTGGGGCTGCAGATAAAAGCTTGAGTGCCTGTGACACTGGTCACACTCCTGTTGTGGCCCCCAGGACCCTCCGCACTACAACCTATCACCTCACTGTGCCCTCTGGGTTCAACTGCCTCATGGTCAAGGTCACTCCTTCAGGTGGCCTGCAAGTGCAGCACTGCATCCAGGCTGACCACCTGGCTCCCAGCATAGGAGTGCTGACGTTGGGGGAGCCTTCCTGCCTTCACTGTCCTTGGGCTCTACAAGCAGCTTCCCTCCCGCCACCCCCCATCACTCGCAAGGAGGAGCAGGCATGCGCGGGACACCAGCCAGGCCCTGCCTCTCCTTCCCCCACGTGGCCTTGATTTGTATTTTGTTTTAACCAGAGACAGAACTTGAGACCTCCCCCTGTGAAACTGCTCTAGTTGGTCTGCCTCCAACATTCCAGGCTGGAGAGATCACCGCATCAGTTGAGAGCTGGGCTCCTATATCCCTGTGATCAGCAGAGCTTCAGGTCATAGCCTCCAGTTGTCACTAACTTCCTGGACACCCATGCCCAATTCACATCCTCCCTTTCAAACCAGACAGGACCTGGGGAGGGGACGCCCCTCCCTGCCCCGCAGCAAGCTGTTCCCAAGCTTCCCTCTGGCTGGCCCTGGAGTCCACAACACAAAGCAACAGAAGCACCCCCGGGGATGCCATCACCCCAGTGCCTGTCACTGCACCCTGACCACTGGCTCTGGGGGGTCTAAGAATGTGCATTTTATTACCAAAAGAAAAAAAAATTATTTAAGGCCTGGTGCAATGCCTCAACTAGCTAATCAACGCTAACCCTCAGCCTGCAAGTGCCAGCACTGTTCATGCCCCTACTGATTCACTTCCCATCCAGCCTGTGGCCCGGGAAAGCAGTCAAGTACGGCCCAAAGCCTTGGGACCCTGCACCCACGTGGGAAGCCCAGAAGACACTCCGGGGTCCGAACTGGCTCAGCTCAGGCCATTGCGGCCACTTGAGGAGTGAACCAGTGGACGGAAGATCTTTCTCTCTCTGCCTCTCCATCTCTTTGTAAATTTACCTTTCCAATAAACATGGAAAAAGTCTTTTTTACAAAACGATTTTATTTACTTGAAAGGCAAAGCAACAGAGAGAAAGGGAAAGACAGAGAAGGAAAGATTTTTCACCCATCGATTCATTTCCCGGATGTCCACAACAACAGGCAGCTGGGCCAGGCCAAAGCCAGGAGTTGGAACTCCATCTGGGCCTCCCCCACAGGTGGCAGAGCCCTGGCCATCTCCTGCTGCCTTCCCAGGTATGTTAGCAGGGAGCTGGATTTTAAGCAGAGAAGTGGGACTCAGAGCAGTTACAGGATGCCAGCAGCAAAGATGTGGTTTAACCCACTGAGCCACAATGCCAGTTGCAGGAAATGTTCATTTTAAGATTTATTTATTTATTTGGAAAGCAAGGTTATTCGAAAGAGAGAGAAGGAGAGAGAGGTGGCCACAGCAGCCAGGTCTGGGCAGAGCTCCTTCCTGGTCTCCCGCAAGGGTGGGAGCGGTTGGGCTGTCCTCCACTGTCCTCCCAGGCGTATTAGCAGGAAGCTAGCTTGGAAACGGAGCAGCTGGCACCAGCACTGGTGCTCCGACATGGGACGCCAGCATTGCCAAGTGGTAGCTTAATGTGCTGTGACCCACCGCCAGCCCCTTACGCTGGCTCCTTCTGACCTGGCACACCTGGTGAGTAGAACGCTGTGCAGTGAGATCTACCACAAGTTCTTGCTCTCTGTTTCCCTTAGACAGCAGCTTATTCCCACCTTTCGGCCCTGCACGCCCAGGCCACTTGAGCTGCTCCTCACCTCTGCGACGGTTTGACAGCGAGCCAGACTATTCAACCACTTTTTAGTACAGTCATCGACAAATCACATCGGATATTCAGCATTTGCCTCCCAGATAGGCTCATGGGGAGGACACAGGGGTATGGCTGGGGGAACTGCTCAAGAGGATGGAGTCCTGTCCTTGCTGCGGATCCAGCTTCCTGCTAACGTGCCTGGGAGGTAGCAGGTGCTGGCGCAAGCAGTGGAGTCAGGCTCTGACCTGGATCAGCTCTGACTGTGGGGAGCATTTGGGGAGTGAAGCAGCAGGTGGAAGTGCTAGGAATTTGCCATTTACCCAAGATGCCAGTGAGCCAAACCAGAGATCTCTTTATTCAGTGCAGGGGGATGGCGCTTGGACAGGAGAGAAAGTAAGGCAGAGGGAGATGGCCGTGGGGAGGGAGCGGAGGCAGAGTGAGCAGAGAGGAAGAGAACGGGGACTCCTGTCATAGTGGCAGGAGAGGGATCCAAGGGACCCCAGCAAGGGAGAGACAGAGAGCCCCAAAAGCAGAGGAGGGGAAGACAGTGCAAGAGACAAAATGCAAGAGAAAATGAAAGAGAACATAGGGGCAGGTGTCGGGCGTACAGGGCTGCAGGACTGGGTAGACGCAGCAGTAGGTAGGGCTAAGGATACAGGGACGCAAGGGATTCATGAATAGGGTTATTGGGTATAAAATTGGGCGAGTAACTAAATAGCCCCACCTTATTGAAATGAAACTGAAACCTAAGGGTCTAAGATGGTGGGGGTCTCAGCAATCTTTGGGGCTAATGGTTGAGTCACTCCTCAGAGGAAGATCTCACTTTCTCTGTCTCTCCCTCTCCATCTTTCAGGCAACACACACGCAAACGAAAGACCGGCATTCGATGCCTTCGCCCCCTGGAGGCTAATGTTAGTGTTGGAGCCCACTTCAGGTGGGTCAAGCTAAGCTGTGACACCCGCTAGGTTAGCGTATCAAATGCATCTTTGATGTATAAAGTCAGGCTGGGATCGCCATGTGGAGGTACACTTGACCTCTGGTGGTATTGCTATTTTTATCTGGGTTCACTGAGCTGGGGTCCCAGCACAGCCAGCACCGCAGGGGCCTCACCTTTTCTGTCACCTCCAAACTGCTGTGCAACCTTCTCAAAGGAGGACACTCAGGTAACATCTACTTATGTAGTTGAAAAGCTGAGCGACAATGCCTATGACAGCAGGAGACGGGCCAGCTCCAAGCCAGGAGCCAGGAACTCCATCCGGGTCTCCCTGTGGGTATCAGGAACCCAAGCACTTAGGCTCTGCTCCGCTTCCTTCTGCATGAGCCAGGAGCAGCTGCGATTCGCACTCGGTGTGGCTTCAGGAGCGGCAGCTTAACCTGGGCACTGCAAGACCGGCCCCTCCCAGGAGGACTTTCACATCACAACCACCTCTCAGGCTGGAGAGGATGTGTGTCTCTGAACTCCTAACCCGGGCAAGAACTCTTCCAGCTTCTTATTTAAGCAGCACCAGCCGTGGGTCCCTGCTCCCTGTACTTACTTTGTCCCGTCTACCTTTTGGTACTGCTGCAGGGCTGGCCTGTCTTCTGGTGACAGACGGGATGAGGGATGGACACGTCCTAACAGAGCAGAGGAGGGCAGTGGCCGGGCATTCTGTCTGCCATTCACCATGTGGCCAGCTGGGTAATGAGAGACTCCAGCCAGAGGTGACCACACCCCAGCAGAGGTTTGGAGCCATCACTGGGCTTGGGGAAAAGCCTCTGTTCAGACAAGAAACATGCAAATCCTGCGAATAGCCGGTGCGGGCAGGAGCAGCAGCGGGAGCCAGAAGTGCTACTGGTCTCAGCCACGGCACTAATGGCTCACAGCTACTAACCCTGGGCGAAGGTGGAATCGATCAGGCCACTTTCAGATTGCCTTCTGACCTCGCAGGCCCAGGCTGGCACTGGGAGGGAGGGCATAGAGCCAGGGAGCAAAGAGGCTCAGAATCCTAGTGTATTGTGGGGACAACCTGCAAGGGACTGGGAAAACCCTGTGTGCCCCTTCAGGAGACAACCAAGCAGCTGACTGCTAACGTGTGGCCAGGCAAAGGACAGCATCTGTCTGGGGCCACACTCATCCATTCAGGGCTCAGAGCTCAGCCAGGTGAGCCCCCACCCAAGGGTGGGAGGGAACAAGGGACAGGGATGGAGAGGGACAGATGGCTGACTGCCCATGTAGAGGGGACACTTACCAGCACATGAGCCCGGCCACCACTGCCGTCCAGGTGGTGCAGCAAGAGTTGCGCTGCTTGGTCTGCACAGCCCCATCCTGCCGGCGGCAGCACACACACACCAGGTAGGTCGCGAGGAAGGCCAGATTCAGGCCCAGGCACACGGCGGCCATGAGCCCCAGGAACAACAGCGACTGTAAGAGGGAGAGGCTGGTGTCAGCCGGGCGGGAGGGGACCCCTGCAGAAGCCGCCTGCCCAGGGTGCCCATGGGTCCAGGACAAGGGCAGGGCTGTGTCGCTGTCACCATCTTCCTTCTGCCCGTCCTTTCCTCCTCCTACTCTGTACATGGCACCTGACACTCGGGTGCTGGTGGGGAGGGATGGAGCCCCAGTGCTGGGCTCGATGGTGGGTGTAGGGGAAGGGGAGATGTAGGGCTGGCTTGGGGTTCCAGCTATTGCACCTGAGTGAAGACGGGACCAGGTCTTGCCTGACAGAGCCCTGAGCACCTGAAGCCTTAGACAGGAATTAGGACCTAACAACAAAGGCTGTGGCCAGTGAGCTCCGGGGCCAGGCAGCACAGGAAGGGACAGTGGCACAGCTGGTTTAGCTGCCTCTTGTAACATCGGCACCTAGAAGTGCCAGTTCAAGTCCTGTCTGCACCACTTCCAATCCTGCTTCCTGCTGCTGTACCTGGGAAGGCAATGGAAGACGGCCCTAGTGCTTGGGTTTCTGCCACGCACGTGGAAGACCCAGATGGAGTTCCTGGCTCCAGTCCCGACTGTTACGGCCGTGTGGGGAGTGAGGCAGTCACCTGCTAAGCACCTTGTACACGAAGTGGAACCTCACATGGGGTCAGGAGGGGTACTGGGCACGTGTGCTGCCTCCTCGTATCAAGGGCCCACCACCTGAGCAGCTGCTTCCATGTCCAGGCGGCCAAGTGCCTGTTCTAAGAACATGAAAAGCAGAGCCAGCTCCGTGTTGGGGGGACGAGTGGGGGCGGGGCCAGGATCTATAACCCACAGTGTTCCTTAGCCTGCATCCTGACAGCTGGCCCTGGGGGCCGACAGCAGCCCTCCCTGCCCCCAAAGCCAGAGCTCTGATGGGGACTTGAGTCACCTACCTGTTCACGCCCCGCTCCCCACCCCAGCCCCTTGGGGTCTTGCAAAGCGGCTGCTGTTTTTCAGGAGGCTTGGGTGTTCCCCAACCCCCTTTACCCTCCAATCTCTTGATTTAGCCAGATGGGCACCAGATGGCTCAGGGCTGGGTGGCAGCCAGGCCTGGAGCTGGCTCTAAGTCTGACCCCTGAGCTGGTGGCCCCTTCTGCATCCTGCATGTCCCTAAGCGGTTCCTGGGGCAGAACTGTTAACACCCCAGGAAAGGCTGTCAGGCAGGGGTGTGTCTCTGGGACTCTGTGTGGCTTGGGTTGAGGAGGTAGATCTTGTGCAGGGACAAGCAGACGAGGGCAGCCCGACACCCAGGCACTGGGCACCTGGCTCCAGGGCGATAGCGGCGCAGACGTCCAGGGGAGTCACCCTCCCCCTTTCCGGCTCCACTCTGCAGGCCAGCCTGAGACTGACGTGGGCAGGCCCTTGGACTCCTGCCCTAGGCTGCTCTGCTGGTCAGTGCGGAGCCACAGCCGCCTTCTCCATCATGGGGATAAACGGCTGAAGTAGTGGGGACAGCCAGAGGGTAGGAGGCATGGCTCATCTGGGAGGTGGACAGGTGGCTGTCACCTCCATGCAGGATGAGCACAGCTGGCACCAGGAGGAGCTCTTTTGCCTTTGTCCTCTCAGCCATGGGGCTGGGGCTCTGACGTCCCCCCATCTATGCCACTCACGGCCACTTAACCTTTCCTTCACCCTCACAGCTGGACACAGCCCAGGTTCCTGGGAATGGAGGAGTGGACGGGCATGCTTGCCTCACTCCTGATTCCCCTTGACAATGTGTCATCCCAACCTGGCGACACCATTTTCTAAAAAGCAGGAGGGCTCGTGTCCCCCAAAGACAGACAGACAGACACACACACACAGATGCAGCTGTTCCTGGCAGCAGTGGCTTTGTGACCACACAGGAGCAAGTGTCCACCAGTGAGAGGACAGTTTATGGACAATGCCAGCCACAATAAGGGACTGCAATATGGATGGGGTTGGGGGAGAACCTTAGAGCTGTGATGCTGAGACCGACCAACCAGCTGCCAATGAACGGGCACTCGGGCTTGTCTACAAGCATGAGATCTGGGGAACTTGCCCGCAGGGAGGGAGGCACCCATGGCATCCCCTGAACCCAGGAGCATACTGGGATGGCATGGGGGTGGTGTCCCCCACCCAGGAGCATATGTCAATTTCACTGTGCTGCACTCAAGGCTATGTATGTGGCCTATAATTTATTCCTGATAATAGGGTCTAGCACTGTGGTATAGCAGGCTCAGCTGCATCCTGCTGTACCTGTATACCATTTGAACACTGGTTCGAGTCCCTACTGCTCTGCTTCCTATTCAGCTCCCTTCTGATGCACCTGAGAAAGCAGTGGGAGATGGTCCAAGTGCCTGGGCCCTTGCCACCCACGAGGGAAACCCAGACGGAATTCCAGGCTCCTGGTTTGGGCCTGACTCAGGCCTGGCTTCTGTGGCCACCTGCGGGACTGAACCAGTGAAGGGAAGACTTCCCGGTCTTTCCCTCTCTTAGTCATTCTGTCTTCCAGATAAATAAATACACCTAACAGAGCCGGGGACAGATGTTCCAATAGCAACCGCTCATGTCCAAACCACCCCCATCTTCTAGACTGCCCTGAGGGGGGGGGTCCCACTTTCCGTCCAGCCCCTGGCAGGAAAGCCCCCTAAATCCACCCTGTGATCCTACCCAGCAACCAGGGGCTGGCAAGAAGCGGTGGGGCTGTGAGTCAGCCCCGTGTGGTCTCCTCAACCAGCCCCCGTGGCCTCCCGCAAGGCCAAGTCCCTGTGGCCTGTGGCGGAGCCTCTCTCAGCTGGCCTCAATTAGGGGTTCATCAATGCAGCCCCAACCGGGGCAGTCACACCCTGGAAAACCCAGGAGGCCTTGGGAGCAGCTCGCCTGGGCACAGGGATGCTTCTGTTGGGGGGATGCTGGGAAACTTGGGAGGGAGTGGTGGGGTCCTGGGAGGGAGCAGAGGAAGGAGGAAGTGGGGGAAGGGGAGAGGGTGGTGGAAGAGGCAGGGAGGGAGGAGGGGAGAAGAGCTAAGTGTCACCCTGCTCTCTAAGGAGTAATTATGCGCCTGCCACTCATTAACACTGCAGCCCCACATGCACAGGGTGGGAAGCGCAGGAGTGGGAGCCAAGAGCTCCTTGGGGCCGGAGGAGGGGAGAACAGCCCCTCACATCATGTGCCCGTGGGCCCTGCCAGCCCCCCACCCCTGCTCTGCCTGTCCTCATCAAAGCAACTCCAATTATCTCTGGTTTGCCAATTTGTCCTGGGAAACCCAGACCAAGGAGCCCCAAGCTGGAGACCCCAGAAACCGCTGCGGCTGGGTGGTGGAGGGAACAGCTGAGGGGTGAGGCTGCAGGGAGGGGTGCAGGGAACAGGCAGGGGGTGAGGTCTCCCAGGCTCCCTCGTGGGGCTTAGCATGACTGTCTGATGACCATGCCTCCAAGTTCACGCTGGTTCAATGCGGCTTCCTCGTGCCCCCCTCTGCTGGGCCGGACTCGCGGCCTGGCCTTTCCTCCCCGGCCTGCCAGGGTTCCTGCCTGGGACTGGAGTTTCCCACACGTGGGGTCATTGGCGACATGCCAGGTTTGAGTGGATGATGATGGTGACAACAACGTGGGGATGAGGAGGGAATGGAGGTACCCCGACACGGCCCAGGGACACTGCGATTCTGGCAGCTGACAGGTGCTGGGTGCTGGCGGCAGGCTCTGTTTCCGAGCTCTGGCTTCTCACATAGCGGACTCAGGCCGCCGGGGCTCCTCCCCAACAGAGGCACAGCCTGCAGTGGGCAGCCCACCTGGGCCAGCCCGTCCTCCTCCTGTACTCCAGCCTCGGGACTCACCAGGCCTCTGCTGACTGGGTCACTTCTCCTCAAGGCTGGCAGGGGCAGGCCAAGTGGGAAGACTCAGGTTCCAGTGCCCCGAGGGATGGGGCAGAATGACCCCAGGGGCACAGAAGGGTCTTGGCTGCCCCAGAGACCCCCGGCAGAGACCACTCCCCAAAGGCCCTTGGTATCCCCGGCCGCCCCAGGCTGGGCACAGTGCTGAGCTTGCTGGGGACTGGGACAAGATGGTAGGCAGCCCCCGGGCAGGCTGCAGTGTCAGCGGACCAGGCTCCTGACCATGGCTGTGACCGTGACTGGTGCTCACGAGGGAAAGGGGATGTCCAGGCGAGGACTGTGGTCAGACACCAGAAGGACTTAGGAAGTACCAGCTGCAAGGGTCACACGGAGCCAGACTTCCCGACCCCGCTCACTGTGTTCAGGGCACTGGCTCCCACCCCCCAGCAGGGCCTGGTGGTGCTGGGGCAGGCGGGACAACAGCAGACGGGAAGGGGATGCCCTTGGAAGCCAGGCCTGGGGGGACAGGGGCAGGGGCTGTGAGTCCATCCCTCTGCCTCAGCCACCACTGGTCAGCTGGGCTGGGCCCAGCTCCCCAGCCCCTGTCCTCTAGCCCCCAGGGTAAAGAGAGACCGTCCCTGCCCCCTCCCAGCTGGGAGTGTAGTTTCGTGCAGGCTCTGGGTGGCCACAGACTGGGACAGACACACACAAATCTACACAGCTGTCCCTGAAATCTGCCTCTTTCCAAGCATTTGCTGGGAGCGGAAGAGCCCTGGGAATTAACCCCTGCAGCCACATTTCTCCCAGACTTGCAATGTGGACTTGCAGGGGCCGGCTTTGGGACAGGGGAGAGGGACCAAGGGGCCAGGACCACCAGGAGGGCCAAGCTCCCCGTTCCCGTCCCCTGGGGCTAGTGCAGTCAGGGACACCACAGGTTATTATTAGCCTCCGGGTCACTGTCCCTGCACATGGGCAGGGCACACCCCACAGGGGCAGGATTCCCGAGACTGCGGGACAAAGGCCAGCCGGGGCTGACCCTCCTGCGACCCGAGAGGCTCTGCTTTGAAATGCCCACAGCTGAGGCACAGGCCACAGGGGGGACCAGTCCGAATCACTCCCCCAACACAGGGAACCAATACATACAGCCCAAGGGTGCAGGGCAGCGGGCTTGGCTAGATCTGAGCCAGGCTGCCATGGTGTTACTGTTTGGCCAGGGAAGTCTGGGGTGGGGGTGGGGAGGCCGAGGAGGGGGGTCCCCCGGCCTTGTCTGTGGACACGCAGAGCCGGGGCGCTGGCAGAGTACAGGATGACCCGAGCTCACAGTGGATGAGGGTGGCCGGACACTGGCACCGGGCAATCCCGGACCGAGCAGAGGACAAAGACAAGCAGTCGCGGGCCTGGGGTCGTCCCGACGATCGCGAAGGACTAGGTTGCTCCGAGGCCGCCTTTCTTCCCGGACACCATGGCGCACGCACCCGGCGCCCCGGGAAGTCCTCAGCCTGGGAGAAGCCGCCGGGGCAGAGGTCGTGGGGCCGCTCCCACCCCGCAGGCAGGCGGGCGCGGAGTCGGAGAGCCGGGCTCCCAGGCGCCAGCCCCAACTTCGGCCGCGCCAGGCGTCCGGAAAGCGCGCCTCCCTGCCCAGGTCCGGACCTCGCCAGTAGAACTTCGGGGCGCCCCGGCCTCCCCTTCCCGACGCCGGTCCAACACTCCTCTTCCCAGCTCGCCCGACACTTCCCCTAGGTCCCCCTCTAGACGGAAGGGACGGCGGAGTCGGGGGCAGATGGAGAACAGAGAGAAAAGGGATCCCAGGGAGAAGGGAAGTGCGCGCACCCACCTCTTGGTACGCCTCGTCGCGCGGGCTGAAGGTGCTGTCCACCGGCCGCAGGCGCAGCCCCACGTGCGGGACGCTGTGCAGCCACACGACCCACCAGGGCGCGATGTACTCCACGCGCGCGGCCGGCATGGCTCGACCCGAGAGCGGCCCGCACGATGCGGCCGCCGCTGCCGACGCCGCCGCGGGCCCGGGACGCGCGCCTGCCGGCCCGGCCACGCCCCCGGCCACGCCTATCCCGGGCGGACCGCGCCCCGGCTCCGCCCAAGCCCACCCGGACGACCACGCCCCGCCGTCTGACCACGCCCCAGGCCCTGGTCACGCCCAGGCGCCGCTCCAGAGCTGCCATCTGACCAGCCCCGTCCATGGCCACGCCCCGTAGGGGCCGGCCACGCCCAATACCCGCCCCAGTCCAACCACTGACCACGCCCCAGTCCGCTCGACCACGCCCAGGCTCCGCCCCAGTCTGCTGGCCAGGCCACGCCCCTGCCCTGCCCCCTGGCGATCAAGTCCCCCCACCCTCAGGGAGGAAGCAGTGGACGACGGCCAGAAGCCCGCTGTGCGGTCAGGTCTTAGTGACTTCCGGTCACCTGGGGCCCTGGGGGGGCGGCCTGCACAGCCGGCAGTCAGCGCGGGAAAAGTGACCAGCCACGGGGCCTTCCTTCTAAATGCACACTCGCTCAGCCGGTTATTGAGTACCTACTGTGTAATCTTGACATGGTAACCAGGGCAGGGAGGCAGGCGCCCAGGGCGCTCACTAGCTGGACCAGCTGTCCTGGAGGACCCCCAGAGCCAGCTTCCGGAATGGCCTGCAGCCAGGCAGGAGCAGCCTGGAGGTGTCCACACGCGCTGATGGAGGGCCCACTATGGAGACAGAGGAGCCCAGCCTTGGGGAGGATGCCAGGGGCGCAGACCCAGGGTGTCCCTGCTCCCACGGAGATGCGGGGCAGTGTCTTGGCGCAGGTCGGTGAGCCCCGCGTGCACCCACCCAGGGCCCAGGCCCGCTGGGGGCACAGGAGGCCGGGGGCGGGGCACGGGTGGTCGTTCAGTAGCCAATCAGTTTTATTGGGGACATGGTGATGGAGGCAGGGGAGGGGATGAGGGGGCCGTGGTGTGGGAAGGGTGAAGACAACACCCGCAGGGAAGGAGGCCCCAGAGGAGGCTGAGCTGAGGGAGCTGGTGGGCAGGGGCAGGAGAGGTGCATCCCAAGTGTGGAAGCCAGGCCTGCAGGGGTAGCCCACTGCCCACTCAGGGCCGGGGTTCCGGCATGCTGTGATGTCAGGCCACACACCCCGAGTCCAGCTAACGCCTTCCCTGGGCACAGCCTGCGACGGCTCCAGCATGGCCAGGCCCGGAGGTTGTGGGCTCTTGGGGAGTGAACTGGTGGGTGGGAGATGTCTCAGTCTTAAAAATACAAAACATTACCTTATGTCTAAATAAATACCTTTATTTACAGAGGGGGCGAGGTAGGCAGGCCAGGGCTGCTGCCTCCGGGGCCAGTCCGTCAGCTTCTGCTGCCAGGGGGACAGCACGGCACACACACCCTCCGGCCCTCTCCTTGCCTGCGGCCTCCACACCACCGGATGTGTGACCTGCTGGAGGTGCAGGGTGAGCTGTCACAGTGGTGGCCTGAACAGGGCCTCAGGAGACACAGGACAGCAGAGGCAGGCTCGCCTTCCTGCAGGGCAGGGTGAGGCTCCCGGAACTGCCTAGGGACCTGGAGCAGGGCGGCCTGGCCATGGGTGCAGGTGACAGAGGAACATGCTGAAGGGGCTGACCGCACAGGCCCCCCACCTGATTCCTAGCCACACACACACACAGGGTCCCACAGTGCCCTCCCCACTGCCCCTGCCACGTGGGAGCTGCCATGACCACACGCACACTGCCCCAGATGCCCCCACGTCCCTGTGGCACAGGCTGGCTGGAGGCCCTGCAGGGCTGATCTAGCAGTGTGGCCTCTGGACAAAGACATGGCGAGCTCTTTCTTGGGAATGTCACCGAGGGAACTGAAAGGGGCTTTAGGGACCCTGTCTCAAACCCCACTGAGCAGCCCTGGCACCCACCTTCCACAGGTGTGAAGCAGAACCAAGTACATCCACCTCACGCGTTCAGCCTGCTTGTTAGCGTAGCACCTCCCGCCCCACCAGTCATGCTGTACAGCAAACTTGAACATCAGCAGCGTTCAGAGGGCATCACTGCGCCTGTGCAACCTCCAGTGACTGCCGGCGTTGGGCGACACCTTGTGGCCGGCCACAGGCACAGCGGGATCACTCATCAAAGTACTTAACACTCCCCCGCCCTGGGTTTAAATCCCGAGATCCTCTGTGGGGACTAGCTCATATCCTGGCCACTCCACTCCCCACCCAGCTCCCTGCCTGTGAGCAGGGAAAGCAGTAGACGCTGGCCTAGAACCTTGGGACGCTACACCTGCCCGAGATCCTGGCTCCGGATCAGCTTAGCTCTGGCTGTTGCCCTCATTTGGGGAGTGAACCCGCTAAAGATCTTTCCTCTCTCCAGATCATTCCAATAAAAATGAATCTTTAAACACTCGAGGGTAGCATGGCAGCACAGCACGGTGGGAACCTGCACTCCAAAGGCGCACTGGCTCATGTCCTGGCTGCGCCCCTTTTGACCTAGCTCAGAAAGTAGTATTGTTTCAAGCCCTTGGGCCCCTGCATGCATGCTGGGAGACACAAAAGCTCCTGGCTTCAGGTAAGCTCAGCTTTGGCTGTTATGGCTATAACATAAACCAGTTAATTTTGTCTCTTATGTAAAATTTACCTTTCAAGAATTTAAAAATCATCTATCCATTTCTACTGGAAAGCAGATCCACAGAGATAAAGCCCCTCCATCCCTGGTCTAGTGGTTAGGGTCCTCAACTTACACGTGCCAGGATCCCATACAGGAACCGGTTCATGTCCCAGCTGCTCCACTTTCCATCCAGCCCCCTACCTGGGGCCTGGGAAAGCAGTTGAGGATGGCCCAAAGCCTTGGGATCCTGCACCTGTGTGGGAGACCTGGAAGAGGCTCCTGATTGGCACAGGTCTGGCTGTTGTGGCCGTATGGGGAGTGAATCGGCGGATGGAAGATTATCTTCTCTGCCTTTCTGTGAATCTGACTTTCCAGTAAAAATAAATAAATTAAAAAGAAAAATCCCCAGATTCTGAAAGGCAAAGCTATAGGAAACAGCAATCAACATGGGGTTGGCTTGTCTGAAGCCTCTTCTGTGGGTAAAGGGCCCAAAGCTCTTCCTGAGCCATCTTCTGCTTTCCCAGGCACATTAGCCAAGTGTTGCCCGTGATGGCAGCACTGCAGGCAGCGGCTTTACCTGCTCTCCCCAGGTGCCGGCCCCGTGTGGTCCTCCCACTATTCCCCAAAGGGAGCGGCTTCTCAGAGCAGGCAGTGGTAGAAGCAGGTCCGGATCTTTGAGGACATACGTATGGTGCAGCCCACCAGCACGCCCCCTTCACTCAGGCCCACCCTTCCTTCTGGGTGTTTCCAAGTCCCACTAAGGTTGCTTGTCTGGGCGGGCACTCAGCAACGGGCACCCAAAGGGCAGGCAGACCCTCCTGCTGGGTGCCTGCAGTCCTCCAGGGCCCCAACGACTTCCTTCCACCGGGCTGTTCTTCCCACAGCTGGCAGGGATGACAGCACACAAACGTCACTGTCACCAGAAGCCGTGACCAAGCAGCCCCATTTCCCCGGGGAGGACTCAAGGACAAAGGACACTGAAGTCATTTAAAAACTTTAATGCAGTTCCAGCGGCTTCACTTCAGCTCCTTCACTGCCAGGCCTGGAGGGAAGACCATACGACTGTCAGCCGCTGGGGACACACCCGGGTCACCCTGCCCCGCTGCCAGGCACCCGGCCACCCAGGGCTGCCCCTCCCAGCGCGGCACTCCCCTCACCTGGGGGAAGCGACTGCTTTAGCTTCTCGGCTTTCTCCTTGTCCGTGATGACCAACGTGTACAGGTACCTGCTGCAGCGCACTTTGAACTTCACATTGTCCTTGTTTTTCTTGATCTTGACAGCTACGGAAGAATCAGGAGGCATTGGAGCAACTCCATAGGAAAACTCTGCACTCGGATGGAAGGGAGACTGGGGTCCCCACATGCCTCCCCCCGAAGAGCCCTGCCTGGGACCACTCGGCTCATGCCTCCGCGGGACCAGCAGCTGAGCCAGGCAGGCACCCTGAGACGGGGTGCCCGCACTCCAGGATGCAGCTAACAGCGCAGGGGGTCAGATGTCACACAGACAGCACAGGTGTGTCCCTGCGGCCAGCTTCCCTGCCAGGCTGCCACTTCCTGTGCACATCAAGCCTCTCCTTCCTCTTTCCTTAAAGCCAGCCAGACACGCGTGTACACGGTCATGGTGGCCGAGGGCTGGACATGGCTCTGAGCTCTGGCCCAAGTCCCTGATCAGACATGTAGGTGCCAGCAGCAGTGGCTGCCAGGGCCAAGGGCACGGCAGTTGGTCTGGGAGCACAGCTTCACGCATGAATGCTGAAACAACTCAGCATCCCACACTTGGTCACGTGTGGGCGCCCTTCACACGCAGGAGGGCTGCACCCCCCCCCCCACCACTGTAGCCTCATCCAGGGGTCCGAGCCCACCAGCTGCTTTGCCCTCTGCATCAACCCCGGTGGCACACTCAGATTCTGCGACCTTCTGGCACGCCGGGCCAGGACCAGGCAGACCCTATCCCGTGTGGTCAGATAAGCCTGACCCGATGGGGCCCCGACTGCAATGGTGGTGCCGGGTCGAAGCTGCTGCCTGTAGCACTGGTTCAAGTCCCAGCTGCTCCAAAGCTTTGGGACCCTGCACCGGTGGGGGAGACCCGGAAGAGGGTCCTGGCCATGGAGGGGGGTGGTGAACCAGCCACGGTGGACCCGTCTCTGCAATCTGCTTGTCTACACCAGGGGGAAGGCGGGCAGCAGTGCCTGGACGGGACCCCTCTCCTCGCCTCTGCTTCCCCCCACCCCCGTGCCACGCGTGAACCCTCTGACAGCCTGCCCCATACCCATCCCCCTGCATCCCACATCCGCTGGACTCCACGTCCCCTTCTGCATCCCACGTCTCCCCTGACCCAGTTCCCCAATACCCCACATTCACCTGCACCCCGCACCTCCCCAC